TGCTGCAATTTCTTGGAGTTTTTTCAAAAAGAAAATGTTTTTCGAATTATTTGTGCGTCTTTTCGGAATACTGACAAGAAACGGCTACATTCATGCGGTATGGCGTAGCAAAACCGTAGCCACGCCCTTACTTGTTAACTCGCTTCTAGCAAAGTGCCACCAGAATTGCAAACGAACAAAACGACTTAACAATTTGTTAAACGCGACTTAACAAATTCGTTAAACGTAGCAAATTTACTAAAATAACAAATGCCACGAGAATAAAGCGCCCTACAGACGGTACGATTTGTCGTACAACTTATCGTACGACAAGTCGTATCAAACATCGTTTCAGCTTGTCGTACGACGTGATTCCCTACAAACGTAAACGATAAGTCGAACGACAAATGTCGCAAATTATAAAAGCAAACTTTAGTTGACAAATGTCTATTGTGGCGTTGGAGAGTAATTCCTTATATTTTATTAGCAATTCTTCATAACTTGAATTGCGTTTAATTTTATTTGCATACTCCTTCGACTTTATATTCCACAAACAACTATGTTGTCTATATAAGCTTATGAATTCCTCCCAAAGATCTTTATATTAAGCATCCATTCTAATAAAGGTAAAGTAAGTAGCGAGAAATGCCTAAATAATAGACTCATCACCTTTCCTGTAGTCGAAATCGTACTAAAGTTGGTCAGATATCGCACAGTTCACATACACACGATACGATCTGCAATTTGCAAGTCGAGTAGTACGCCAAGTTTTATGGCAGGTTCATACTACCATCCGATACGATTTCGACTAACGATCCGTCGTACGACATCGCTACACACGGTACGATTATCTGTCAGACTGTAGTATCGATCTAAGTCGTACGATAAGTTGTACGACAAATCGTACCGTCTGTAGGGCGTTTAAGACTGAATATGTGCAAGTAGCTATAATCCTATATGAAAACATTGCTTGTTGTAACTGAAATGCTCGCTCGCAGAAAAAATGTTTTCAGGAGCTTTTGTCTTTTTTTGTTGCAAACTACTAGCATTCCTCCTGTTTCAAAGTTTTCATCCAGAATTAGAAATTTGGTAATATCGCTGAAGCTGAAGAACTACTTCTAATTCGGACGACTGTCGTGTTCATCGTGCATAAAAACAGCGAATCTAAATTCCCAGATAGGTACCAAATCTCGTTGGGATCATGAATTTTTGTAGGGGGAGACGTTTGAAAACTGTAAATTTGGCCCTCTAGTGTTTATATTACAAAATGTATTTTTATGGTTATGTTATGACTATTCATTTAAAATTACTTTAATATTAACGTACAACGGACGTGTACTCACTCATTATCAAATCTGTAACGTGTAGTAGCTATTATTTAAATTAATCTTTTGTTTCAGAGAAATGGAGTACCTATCACCTGGCCTTTGTTCAAGCTGTTTTTTCCACCGGTGAGTACCTAGCTAATATTTCTTTTTCTACTTTATCTAATAAAGAATCTATACTTACAGAAACACTGTTAATAACGAAATACTACTTTTTTTCATATAAAAAGCTCTTATAGTAGACTACGAGTGAAATATGTAACGTATGTTCGGCCGATATTGTTATATTCTTATAGGAAGATCTTAACGCCCTTGTTTTTAATGATCCTGTGATTGGTCGATGCAGTTCTCTATGAAATAGTGACTTTTTACGTCCTACGAATGAAAATGACTACCAGAAAACGTCTTTTTAGCCTCTCCAACCTTGTTTTTTCTTGTATGGTACCAAGTCCAACTCCAAGAAGGATTGGAAAGTATTCTTTCTACCAATACCATTCTCCTTATAGTACACCATGCCTTTGTAACAGGTAGAATACTCGAAATTTTTTTACCTATTTTGAGGGAACTAAATATCCAAATATTCCAGTATAGAAAATTTGCGGTCGTTCATAGGTACATCAAATTACAGCAAAAGAAAATGTATATTACTTGTACTGTCCACGTTGAACATCATCTCTATGGTTCATATGCTTCAATAAATATCGTATTTTAAATGTGGGGTATAAAAATGATCCACAAAATAACGTAGAGGTAGGTACTATACTTCTAATACCAAATTTATAATTTTTTATGTCCGTTTATTGAACGTGCGTGTATTGTACGGGTAAATTGATTAAGTTACAAGTATATTTACATAAATTAAAACGATTAATTACATAAAATACACTGTAGTACATTCGCGACTTATGAGAAATAACAATTGCAATCAAATAAAGTGTCAGTACAGCAAACAAATTCGTATGTCCATAATCGACATTGTGAAAACATAAGTAATAGATATATTTAAAAAAAAAAAGATAATTAAAGCTAATCTTGAAAGTTTCACTAACATCGTCGAATTAGTGCGATTTTCATGTATTGGTTTTTTCACATATAAATCACTAATCTACTCATGCGGAAAATAACACTACAAGAGTCAATAAACTACTTTAGCTCGCTCTCGATACATGCAAATATATTATTAAATAAAAAAGTTATTAATAATTATTTATTAAGATTATGGCAGTAAATTTAATTCAATATATTGAATCGTTTATTGTAATGTGGTAATAAAAATTTTATTGAACTGTAGCAGTTTGCGTATACTAGGTTAGTATAATTACAATGGAGAGTTCGGGCGAGTAGTTCAATGATCCAACCTACCAGTTCTAAACTAAATGCACCACCTATGGTTAGGTAGAAATGGTACAAACGCTTGGCATAAATTACGCGTAAGTTCGAAAAAGTGAAAATAACAGGTCTACAATATTGAACAATTTCTAATAAATTATTATGCGAAATTGGCAATTTATTACGTTATAAATATTTAATTAAGTGGTGATGAAAGGTGACAAATTAAATTAACACCTAAACGTACGTTGCAATCTGTACATTTTTTATAAAGCATTTTTAGAGAAGGAAACCCATATATTATTATTACACTGAATATTAACGTACGTACGTAAAATTTTTACATTTATTCTATAAATCTTTTAACTAAAAGAGACTAAAATGGTTACGTTCGTTTAGAGCTTTGTATAGTTCTTTACCTGCTCGGCCCTCTTATTATTTAAAAGTATTTAATTAAAACCTTAGTTTAAATAAATTTTGATGAATTGACCAATAGGCCATTGAACGTGTTTTGGGGCTGATTGTACCAAGATAATCCAACAAGAGTTCGGACGAAAATTTTTTATTAAACAAATAAGACCGAAAAAATCTTTTTTTTGCAATAACTTTTTAATTTTTCATTCTTTTCCAAATCTGAATAAACCATTCGAAAGAACGAGAAATTTTACATAGGGGGTAGTTATCACGCCAGGTAAATTATTTGAAATGTGTAAGAAACGAAAATTTTAGTTAATGGAGTTAACGGACATCATTCTAAATTTAATTCTAAAATTGTTTTGTTTTGTATAATGCACATAGTTTGTGTCGAATTTGTTCGATAGTAGTATCTGCTAACAAAGTTTTTAACATACCTAGTTAGAAGGTCGTTTATGAACATTAAAAAGAGTGGGTCCAAGTATAGAATCTTGGGGTACCCCACTAATATCTCTAATAACGTATAATAAACTGCTGGACAATTCAAAGGGACCGAGCGAATTTTTACGTTACCTTTAGAGTCAAATATTTCGAAAATGGAAAAAAGATACCAAGAACTTTCCATGATTTTGTAGATACTTCATTTTCGAACTAGTCTGCTTGGTTCAATGTTTAAAATTTTTTTTAACACTTTTTATCTACAGAGGTCAAAGAAAAGTTTTTTGAAATATTTGGCTACAGTTGACCTAGAAATTTGCTCGTATCGTTTGAATCTAGGTTTGAATTGTCTAGCAGTTTACAATAAGATATAAGTGATAAAAATATAAAATAAAAAGAAAACGGAATCACATCATTGTACGTACCTGCATTGCACATGTACGGATAATTTGCCATATTCCTTCAACTTCTAATATTTCCTCTTCTCACTGGCAGCCATCAGCGAAGTCAAACCTTTTTGTCTCACTACACTTTTCGCCTCTTGAAGAAGAGTTTCCCCACACAAAATGCACTCCATCTGAACATCTGTAGGTGAGATGCCACGAATGATTGGGAAGTATCTCAATTTAGAACGTTATGATCAGTACTCCACAATTTAGCAAACAGTGGTGTAGATGGAAGACTTCTGTAGCAGAGAGGTATGTGGAGCAATTTAAAAAGAAACAAGTTACAAAAGTAATCGCAAACGATTTACAAAAAAGCACATTTCCACATTAAAAAATAGTTACCCAAGTGAAATTAATTTTCAGCCATTGAGCCAAAATAGTGACTTTATTTGAAAAGCACCTTTTGTTCAAATTTCGGAAAAATCCGCCTAGAACTAAGATGGTTTGGCTCTTTGTGTTTTCAATTCGTTTTTGTAGGAAACATCATCAGTAAAATTTCAGAAAAAAAAGGTCTACAAATAAAAAACTAAAGGTCGCTGTACATTCACGATCCCTTTTTTTGACACGGTACCTTCAGTCTGCTTTTATAGGAAGCATCTTCCACTGACATTTCGGTAGAATTGGGTTACAAATAAGAAATCCAAATCTGCGGATGCGTAATAATTTTCTTGCACAGCACAGCAGTCTATTTTTTGTGCGTTTAACTTACTTATTTTTAGGAAAAACGTTTCTTTAGAATTTCAGATAAATCCTTCCATAATAATGACACTTTTGCTTAGTCTCCAATAAGAGATATGGTTTTGGTAAAGTGAAAACGATTGTTTTTCGGTCGACGCGTTGACGAATTCTTTTTTGCACGGTTTTTATTCGATTATTTATAACGGGTACTTAAATTTATGTCCTTTATATCAATCAGTGCACATAAGTAGGAGGGTAGCTAAGAAAAAGTATAATAGACTCTGTAAAAAACAGGGAAATCGTATTGGATGAAAGTTTAAAGCTTGATGACACTAATTGAATGGATTATTTACGATAAACTATAAATTACAATTCCTATAATTATAATAACTAGTAGTCATAATGTTTAATAATATATAATCAGGTAACTGCAATACCCGTACATTATGCGCTTAAGTGCGTACACAAAAATAATTTAAAAAAGAGCATTTGGCAGATCTTCAAGATATAATTAAACAAGGAACACTGTCACCGCCTTAATTGCAATTTATAATTAGCCAACATTGATTATTTTTCACTTAACCGATCATCATCGCCTTGAATTCTGAAATAAGCGTAACATTAACGTGTAAAGTTTAAGGTTCGCATACCTTCCCAATCGACAGTTCCAGAACCGTCCACGTCGATTTCCTCGATCATCTGGTCTAAATCCTCTTTTGTCATTTTCTCGTCCAACTCCTTTAATATTTCCCTAAGTAAGTCCGTCGTAATGAAGCCCAAACCTGCAACGATTGTTGCCTTACATTCCCCTATAGCGTAATTTCGACCCACCTTCCTTGTCGTACAACCGAAACGCATCTTTCAGCTCCTTTAGAATGGCCTCGGTATCTTCCTCCTCCTCAACTAGAAACCTTGCGGCGAGATGCGCGAATTCCTCAAAGCTCAATTCCCCGTTTCCGTCTTCGTCAATTTCTTTTACGATTGCCTAAAATTGTGTTTCGAGATTCAATCGCGACATTCACCTACTCACCTGCAACTCGTCGGAGGTTAACTGATGGCCAAGCATGTCAAGGATTTGACCGATCATTTCAATGTCAATGTAGCCCTTTTTGTCAACATCGAACGCCACAAACGTCTGCTGTAACACTAATTACACAATACCCATCGTCTGTCTATAAAAATTACGCGTACTTACATATTAACTGGTCCTTATGTAACTCCAACTTCTGCGACAGCACTTCTAATTGCTTTCTGATTTCTTCGTCCACTGCGCTAAGGGCCGCAGCTGCAGGGTTCGTGGCTTTGGGCTGTTTCGTCGCCTAAAAAAAACTTTCTCAAATGTAGGAAGACACGGAATTCAATACCATAATGTCTAAGTCGCGGATTGAGAGCAGTCGAAATCGGACTGACACGTTTTATTGTCACTTGTATCGATGGGACCAATCGATCTCTTTTTATAACGTAAACAGAGCTTTGGTAGGGGAATTCTGATTAATTGATGAAAATAAAGCTAAGGACACGGGTGTGATGTTGCTCAATTATGTTGGGAAGTGTGATGTTTAGGGTGAAGTTCTACTATTTTTACCAGGTATCTTTTTAAGTAAGCTCTTACCTGGAAACCAAACGCAGTAATTTCTTCTTGATGTACTTACATACTGAAAATGAAAAGCGGGTAAGGACTTTGAGGATTCCATAAAATTGTGATTATAACCGCTGTGAAGTTATTTGTCGGTTAGTTGTGTATTTTTTGAGTAAGTATACATTCAGTCAGCTGTGATTCGTAATTAAACACTCCGATAATTGTTTAATCGTTACAAAAGCAAGTGATCTGTGGTGGTTACCTGATTTTCTCAACCATCCAGTATCCAGTCGCCAAGTTATAGGACCGCAGGCGATTGTGTCTCAGAAAGTAATAACGAAGGAGCTTTTGGAGATACCGTTTATATTTACTTATAAAAAAATATTCTCCTGGGTAGAAGATTTCCAAAGTGATGGACTTTTTCTATTTGCCACCGAAATCCAGTATTCTTTCGAGTTACTGTTAACGTTTTGGGCCTTCGTCAACTTTAAGGTTTCAGTATATCCAACTCTGGATCTCGAGCAGGGTTCTTGGCTACGTATTTGATCGACGATTGCACAGTATGCAGATGCATTTACTTTTACGCGACAAACATAATTGCATTTAGGTGATAGAAAGGCGCGATATTTCTTGGGAGCAGCTCCCATCTATGTACTCATGTACTCTTCTTCGTTAACCCAAGCAATGTTTTGATCAAACAGTCGATTGAAACTGCTTGACAGACCCACTTCGCTCATAAAATATTTGCTGTTGATATAATTTCCTCGGTTTCTCTTTTGGTTGTCAGCGCCGCCCTATTATTTGTTCTATCTGCTATGGTGTTGAGTAAGTTTCTCTCTCCACTAGACAACACATCTTCATTCCCAACTCTATCTGACAATTTTCAAAACGCTGCTCCGTCACCACATCTTCTCCCTCTCACCTAATGTCAACCCTTCACAGCCATGCAGCTACCTACAAAGTAATATCTCTTTCTGCCTAAACGCCTCTTAGCCATCCCTATTCTACCATACTTCTCCATTCCTCCGGTACTTCTGATCCCAGATATTTGTATCTGTTCACACTCACTTGGACATTTAACCTTATTGCTTGCATGATCTTCTACCTTTGATTTCTTTTTATTAATTTTTGAACTCTTCCTGTTGTCGTATATACTCCAGAATTGTATTTAGCTCATGAACTCTCTACAAAAGGATCATATCGTCTACAAATCTAAGACACTTTATTTTTGTACCTCATACCTTCACTCCAGTATCATTTTCGCAATATTCCAGTATCATATCATTTCATACAGGTAAATGTTAAAAAAGGTAGGCGACAAACAACAGACTTGCACCACTCTTCTAATTTCACACCATTCTGATCTACACTTGTAGAGACCCTCTACTCGAGATATAGCCTGCAATCAACCAATATTGTTTCCAGTAAACTTCTCTTATTTTCTATACTCATTAGTTTGTCTCACCTGACATACTTAATCAAATGCTATAAAACAGGAAGACACATCCGGCTGCTTTTCCACTCTTGATTTCTCTTAATGCAACCCTTACCTCCTCCGTCATTATAATGATACCTTTGTAGTCGGCTGTAACTTCTTCCCCTACTTCAACCTCAAGATTTTGTGGCTAGTCCTCTGTTTTTTACAGGGTTTCTTCTCTTCTTCCTTTTCTGTACCCTAGCTTCTGTTGGCAAACCGTCCTTATACTTTGATTTATCCTAACGCACTGTACCTCACTACTTTCCTGCTCTGATTGTTGTCTTTTAATTTCCTTTTCGGTTTCTACCCCCAATTCTACATATACATTGTTTTATAATTTTTCAGTTCCCATATGATGGTGGTTGATGCCAACTCCTGGGAGCCCGTGCGATTGCTATAAACCTCTCGCCAGGAAAAATTGCCGGTCACAGAACACTTGATCCCGGTCTACAATCTAGGTTTTTCTAAAGATGTGAGCGACTTCCGGGATAGTATCGTGTCAATGTTGAACAAAATGACTTTTCGTTCAACATTGGCACGATCCTATTCCGGAAGTCGCTCGCATCTTAAGAAAAACATAGATTGTAAATCGACACAAGGTGTGCTGTGACCGGCAATCTTTCCTGGCGAGAGTTATACATTATCTGTCGGCAACTATTAGAAAGTCTATTGGTTTCCTATACCGATCGCCATAAGCACCTCTTATGATATTCGTCACAAAAATTTTCTGTTCTTTGCAGAACTTTATAAGCTGCTCTCGTTCATTTGTCTCACTAAGACCAAACTTTCTACTATACGACTATACCTTTCCCCTTTCCAATCGGCCATTAAAATGTAGCAGCAACCCTTGCGGTCATCCTTTATGATTTCATCAATCGTTTCATACACTTCTTCATCAACCTCTTCGTCCTCATGATTACTGGTGGGCATATATACCTAAATAACGAAAATTCTTCCATCTTTACTGCAATTACTCTATGGCAACCCCATCTTTAAACACCGAACCCTTTTTCTCTTATTTACAATTGTAATGAAGGGGCGTATGAGGGTTGGTATTTTAACAAGGGAAGTAGGTAATTAAATGGGGGTTAATTGTTGGTCAGAACTCATTATTAACATGCGGCAAATCACTGTAAACTCGCCTCTCGTTAGCAACGTCCCTCTGAAATCTATGCGTACGGTCATAAGAGGTGCTTTGGCAGCATTCCATCTGACTGGTCGGTTTTCGCACTCGAGGGCCATCTAAACAAACAACGCGACTGTTTATCAGCGATCATTGCCAATTAATTGTGTACTTAACTCACCTGGGTGGCTTGAGCCTCCTAACAATCCAAAATGCGTCGTTGGAGATGATATCCTGAAGGTTTACGATGGAGCTCATACCTATTTGGGAGGGACCCGGACAGTTTGGCGCGGTCACTTTGGCGCCGCCACCTCGGCCCGGGCGCTTTGGCGCCGGGATACTTTGGCGCCGGGACAGTTTGGCGCGGGGACATTTTGGCGCCGGGAATTTATACACCTATATAAAAATATAATCGTTATTTTTTCGTCCACTACAGTGATCAAAGAAATAAAATAAAATCCTACCAACACATATTTGTTAGTCATATTTAAAAGCATTACTGTAAATAAGGACATATGTACATTTTTTTTAATTGTAAATGTATGCCTATTGTAAGTAAATATGGATTTGTATCTTGAAAAACTTGAAAGAAGTTTTTTTCTTTTAATAGTAAAGAATGGAATCACTTCATATTTTCTGTAAAGTTAAATGAAAAATATTGAATAATCTAAAAACTAAGGGGTTTAGGCACGGGACACACTTTATAAAAATTAAGGCGCCAAGTTGTTCCTGCGCCGAAGTGTCCCGGCGCCAAAGTGTTCAGGCGCCGAAGTGCCTAGGTGCCAAGATGTCTCGGCGCTAAAGCGGCCGCGCCAACGTGGCGGCGCCAAAGTGGTCGCGCCAAAATATCCTAGACCGTATTTGGGAAAGGGTTACGGCGCGCACGTGTATTATTTAGGATACACATCTCGCCTCGGCCTACTGATTAGGACCCTGGGCTAATAGATCAACCACCGTCGATCTAGGCCTCTCATTGCCCTCATTGCGAACATTGCAGGTCAAGCTCACCCCCGAACTCTTTTTGTTACCAATGAGGCCTTCGATCGTGACGAGACCGCGTACGCAAGTGAATGCCTTAACATGATTCCTTAAGACTCTTGCACCCATCTGTGCACTATTGTCATACTTTACCAGTCAGCTTGCCACATTTTTGAAATAGGGGTTGCGTTGACATTTTAATTTTTCATTATTAAGGACTACCATCGTAATTCATACACAATAAACCCCAGCCCATTCTTCCCTCTTGTATCATCCACGTTTACCTCTTCTTCACTTTCCCAACTCCTCAGATTCAGATCAGATCCATTCTTATAGTCATTTTCCTTCTTAGGTTTTTCAGGGTCCCTTTCTATCTTCCAAGTTCCAACTTTTAGTTTCTACTTATTTCTTCCTCTCTTGCTACTGACGTTCTCCATCTCACTTCCAAAAGACATAGAACTCTTCCTAAAATTTTCCCCCCGGGTATCCGAATGGGAAACTAACCCGAAATATTTCTTTCGAGGACAATTCGTGTTTTCTTTGTTTTTTCTACGCCCTTACAAGGAAAACTCCAAAGGTGATTTCCCGTTGCTTGCCTCATTCTGACTCCGTTGATATTGGTAGACTGCTCAGCCTTTGGTGGTCATCTACAACCCCCTGGACAACATAGTTCCCGGCCGTCTACCCGCTCATCCGCTCTTCAAGGAGGACCAAAAGGTTTGACCTCCTATCTCTCGGACGCCATATTGCCTATCAGTGAGGTTTGAGAAATTTTAGTGGGGGAGGATGCGTAAGACAGATATCAACCAACCTCTTAGGGGGTTGAAATTCCACTTAAAGTAGTATTGCAGAACAGCACTTGAAGATATTTCTGCGTTCCCCTCATTCTCCAAAAACTTGTGTAGTCTTGGATCTTTCGCAAAATATTCGAATAATCGGCGTCGTGAATTAAATGCTTTTATTACAAGCAATAAATGTTAAGTTCCCCACCACTTGACAGTTAACATGCATAGGTACATACACGATGGGGCATAAACGATTCCCCTATTAGGAAAGCTAATGAAAACGAAACTAAGTAAGATAGGGAATTTTTCTTTTTATTAATCAAGGCACACCTAATGCCACTGAAGAATAGGTATACAATTTATTAAACTGTTTTAAACAATACGTCATTAAAATAGGGTGATACATATCGATTCATGTGACATTAACGAGTGATGCTACAGTTGTTACAAGAGATGTCGTTATATTTCCTCTAAGAAGAATTATCCTAAATAGTTGCTATTTAATTTTTCGCGCGTTAGAGATTGACCTCGTTGTAACGTACTCCCTGACAAAAGACAAAATGTCGGCTATCTGAATGAGAAAGACCGAAGATTTATTGATATGAACTTGATGTAATGCGTAATTAGCGTGGATATAAGGTCAAATGGAAGGCTATTCAGGAAACAATGTAATCACCCAGTGGCAGAGCCTAAAAGAATACAAAAGATAATCATGGGAATGACCATAGCGGTCAACTGGCATATTAAGTGAAAACCAAGATATAGCTAAAACTAAAATGCAGAACCTATCCCTTCAATCAGGATTCACAAAAAAATATAGGTCTAATAGCTAGAAATAAATTATTATTGGAATCTGCAATCATCTGTAAATTTATCTCAGGAGCTAGCCGTAGGTCAGTTCACTAAATTTACAAAGAATTTCAAGTCATGTCTCAAAATCTATTTTAGTTCATAGAAGGAAGATCGGTTGCATTACGTTTGATTAAATTATAAATGATTATCTCATGCAGAAGAACAGAGCACGCAGTTCGCTACCTTTTACCTCTACATAATCAAAATCTCATAATCAAATTTTATAAAATACAAGGGTGAAATATTAACATTCTTAGACTACGGCATAAATTAAACAAATTCTGCATCTTCGATACTGCACATTTCCAATTAGAGGGAATAAAGTATGAGAAACTCTCTTTGGTTGAAATCCAGATTAAGTTCGTAAAACAAAATATTGATTTATTTGCATAATTAACTTTAACTTTAACTTTATTCTCTCACTCAAATTAAAGATACATTAATTTAATAGAAATTTGAGGCGAAGTAATTCTTCTTAGCTGCTCTTACACTTAACCTCGTTGGTGGCATATTAAAAATGTACAAATACAGCTTTTAAACTTAAACTTAATCTATAACATAATCATCATGGAAAATTCATTAGGAAAATCAACGAACCGCCTTGAATTCATGGGAAATTTTATGTCATGTCCCTTTGGTAGTTTTGTTAACGTCGTGATTAGGATGGTAAAGCAAACAAAACAATTTAATTTCGTAGGAGGTGTCTAAATAACATGCCAGCACTCTTTGATTAATGTTGAGATTAAGTTGGTAGAGCAAAATCATAAATTTTGTGGTAAAAACAACAGAACACTTTCATATCATGGGGAAGGAACTAAATATTATACCAGCTCTCGTTAGTTGAGGTCAAAACTAAGTTGGGAGAGCAAAATCTTTATTTAATCACAATTTTCTTTAAGAAAATGTTGAAACAATGACATTTATTGATATTTACACCATGTAATTAGAACGTAACTTCTCAATACGAGCAGGTGTAGCCTAAGTAGTCACGCTATTTTATGTTAATTGCTTCTAATACTAGTGACACTACTCTAGTCGTTAGTGCTTTCAAATTGTGTGGAAACTCTCTGCGTAAGGTGGCAACTATGTTTTGGAAACGAGTCGTGATGTTGATGTGTACATAATATACTTTCAATTAGCAATTTCCGCTTTTCAGGACGATGTCGAAATTCTGCAGCAAATCTAAGCTCACTTCCTGTTGGGCCGCAACTAAATTACGTGCACTTTGCTTTTCGGCTTCTATTTTGGATATAAGATTTTAAAAAATACAATTTATGAAAAAAGAGCTTTATTTACGAACTTCGATAGGTATATAGTGATGACAAACACGAACTACCTACATAGGCCAGGGGGTACAATTTTGGTATTACTAGAATGTGTTAACGATAAACTGCATTATCTCTCTAATTTTCTGGCATAATCAGTGCTTTCTCAAAATGTTAATTCTACAATACTATTATTGAACGGCAAACACGCATTATCTGTATAGACTGGAACTTAGCCGCTAGAACCTTTGGAACAAATATGTGTAAAAGATCGGACTGCCTCAATATGCAGAAACTAAATTGTCTTCCCCCAATCAGCAACACTTTTAACACGAACTTTATAATGTATTCCCTACATTTTGCACAATTTCGTTTACCTATCGCTTTTCGCGAGTATTTTCCTGACGTTTCTCTTTCGTTTTGTAAGAAAACAATAAGGAAACGATAAAGCGAAAATAGATAAATTTCCCTGTACCAACCTGTACCTAAATGGTCGAAATTCAGTCAAGTGGTATCGAAATATAGTCTGCCAGCAGTGATAAACTGGAACTGCAAGCAGATTGGGGATTGGTGTATTTTCAATTATACAGTATGATTTCCTGGTTCACTTAATATTGATTCAAGATAAGATCTTTTCGAATGAATAGCACTTCGCTCAACTCTTTTATTTGGGTACCGCGCCTACTGTTCGGTTGTAATGATGTCCTTTTCTACATTAATGTCCGTATTTACCGCTTAACTTTTACCTATTTTTTTCGTTTGAAATGACTAAACACTTTCGCTTAATGACAGGTTATGAATTTTAAACCGACTTATTCACAAAAACCTCGGTTGCATTATTGCAATTTTGCTTATGCATCCAAGTGTAACTCGCATGATTAATTAATGAAAAACGCTGCTTGTATCGTACAAATAGGTATAATTATTGAAAGGGGTTCCGTGACATAATACCATTATTAATACACACAGGAATGATATAATATTTGTCCTCTGCGGGCACAGTTGCATCTAACCGATCATTACCGCCTTAAATTCTGCAAAAAACTGTGTTATTAAATATCGATTAATCTTCGCCTGATTACCATCCCAGTCTACAGTACCAGAACCGTCGGCGTCAATTTCGTCAATCATGTTATCCAACTCATCATCGCTAAGCTTATCGTCGAGCTCTTTAAGTATCTCCCTCAAAACGTCGGTGGTGATAAAACCGTTGCCTTCCTTATCATAAAAGCGAAAGGCACCCTTAAGTTCCAACTGTATTGCGGCCGTATCCTCCTCTTCCTCAACCAGAAATCGGGCGACCATATTCGAAAATTCTTCAAACGATACCTCCCCATTTCCATCTTCGTCAATTTCCGCTATTATCGACTGAAATAATAGCTTTTTCTATAAAAGGAATAAAATAGGTATAGGGAAAATTTTAACCTCAAGCTCGTCGCCCATTATTTGGGTTCCTAACATATCGAGAATAATACCAACCATTTCTGGTTCGATGTAGCCCTTTTTGTCGATATCGAACGCGTCGAACGTTGACCGAAGCACTGGAATTTTTTTACGTTTTCTTATTTGAGCGTTAGACACTTGCATACTCACTTTGTAATTGTTCCCTCTCCATTTCGTCCTGAAACAAGGAAAAATTGTTGAGCGTTTGGTAGTGTGCTTACACACCTTACGTTTAGGCAACTTAATCTACCTGCACAAGATGGAATGAAATTTAGTGCTAGTGGAATCGAAACGAGAGCACAAGATTTGATCAATGAATTGGCTACATTGTTCTCATTCCATAACTTTACCAGTTAGTAGTTTAATCAATGAATTAACAATACTGAAATACATTTATATCTTGTGCTCTGCCCTAAATTCGAAGACTGAAAAATGCAATAAGAAAATACCAAGGTGAATGTTCGAAACAATTTGAATTGCAAGTGGTTTCCTTTACAGTTTAGTGCTAAATTTGCCAGAACATGATTTTGTTGATGCTAAATTGTTCTAGTCATAAGATAAGATCATCTGAAAAAGTACCCTGCAACTCAATTCATACTTGAAAATTGATTCCATTAAATTTTGGAGATTATGGTAACGAAAAAACTAAATCTTACGCATCATCACCTAAATTAACTGCTGCACGAATTAGAATTAACACCAAGAATTATTTAAATAAGAGTAGGTACCTTCTTAATGTGGATATGGTATTTGCTCATATTGTTAATTGACACAACTTCACGACACCAACTGAAAATCTACCGGATGAGTATTTTAATTACTTTAAAACCTTGTAGTGGGGGATGTTTTGGAACTAAATACGTAACTCTTTTATTTCTTTTGAAGACGGCGGCGTCGGTTATAGGTGACACATTAACATTTAACAACAGCCGGTCAGCCAAAGTTACATTATTAGAACGTGCATTTATTAGTTTACCGACTGTAATGTTGTAACCGTTTGTTAGGGGTAAACGACACCTATATAATAAAAATAATTTTCTATTTCTTAAGTTTCAAAGGCTGGGGTATTTACATTGTCTTTACGCAGACAGATATAACGCAAATTTTCCAACAAAACAGTTCCTATTCTGTGTACCGAACTTACTTTGAATGGCGTAAGCGAATGGAAGTATAAGGTATGTATCAGATTGGTATACAAAATTACCCAGTCAGAATAGGAAAAATAAAGGAACTAATTCATGTACTACCAGTTTCTTCGGAATTGTGTAAGGGACGTTTCCCTATATAATCAACATAAAGTAAAGTCCCCCCGACTACCGGCTGTACTAAAAGGGGGAGGGGAATTAGTAATACATGATTTAGTTCCCCTATTTGTCATTTTTTGATCTATTCTTACTGGTCTAAATAGCAAATTTTGCATATGGACCTCCAAAATTTAAGCGGAGTGTAAATGGACAGCTTATATCAATGACAGCGATTATTACAACAATTTAATTAATATAAAGTTTATGACCAAAGCTTATTGACCAACTTGATTTTATTCATGGTTGTCCACATTTTGAAATTAGCATTAAAAAAAATAGCACCAATATAAATTAAAAACTCTGAATTTACCCTGGATTGTTAAGCTTAAAAATATCTTAAATGAGACACCACGGTAAAGAAAGGGACCATTTCTCTCTATGACCTAAAATATTGGTGACAAGCCAATATTTCTGCTCTTTCGCAACTTATTACTCAATCTCTGTCATGGAGAGCGGTAATGGAAGCATGTCTGTAAATGCGTTACATAGTTCTCAGACAAGTACGAGCTCTGTCACAAATTCCAGCCTTCACAATTGTTAGGGATAATAAGGAAACCAATAGGTAAGGCGTCCCGTTTCTCTTGCAACCTAATAGGATGTCACGAGCAATGTCCTTCAAACAAAAACTTAGTCACTGAACAACCCACAGCAATCTAAGGATCATCAGGTTTCCTCCAACATATGACCCAACTTGCCGAATACTTTTGATACTCCAATCATATCCGAATCTGTTGGGGTTGCATATTCAATAATGATGACTCCATATTGCATCCATACAAAAATAACCTTAATCTTATTCAATGGAACTGTCAATCCCCATTAGCATAAAAGATAGATGAACTTAACCTAGACATAGTGTTACTACGGAAAACGTGGTACAAACCAAATCAAATAATTAAATTTAACCATTCTAACATCAAAACTGACCAATCAATATTGAAAAAAAAATTTCAAAATGCATTTTAGAGAATCATGCCAACCTTTAAGTGTAGCAATTTTCAAACATTTGATTTATAGAATATGGGGAATGCAACATTCCTCGTTACGAAGAAAGACACCGGAAAAGGGACGAAAATAATGGAGTGAATCAAGATCTAAATAAGTTTAATGGGCAGCAAAGGGAGGGTGTTAACGATAGGGTAGAAGGGAATGGTATATTTATCGAATCGATATCAACCAAATACTGGGTAATGGACACGTAATTTCCCTCGGCATAATAGCACATTGTAGTAACACTTACAATACTAGTGATCGTAACAGCCCTTTTCTCAATCCTAGTGATCTGAACGTTTGCCGGGTTTTTTGGCAACCCTAAATTGTCTGCCATATGAGACGTAATAACTGAATCCAAATCCAAAGGTGCTTTAATTAGCCCGTACTTTGTAACCATCGCATGGCAAACCAAATTGACCATATTTGTTTGCTAATATACTAATCTTTAGTAGATACCATTATCTTTAGTGTAGACCAGGGTGTAGACTGTGCTCCATTAGAGACCACTCGATTATTAACTGAGTGACTAGGGTTTTGTTAGGAAATTGCTAATAGACCGGGAGGCAGCGTACATAGTAACTAAACCATAAGCGACAAAAAATTCGACAATACAGACTGAAAATACATTGAAAACTAATAATAAAATCACTCGTCTGCCAGTCGTAAGTGGCAGCATTAACTTGGGGCGGCGCTGAATAGGTGACTTCTTTAGGTGATCAACTAAATTACCAAACTATAAGGGTCACGGAAAAGATTTGTATCAAGAAATCCCATTTTTCCATAGTTTTCAAATATGCTGTGGCAGACGATTTCAAGTGCAGCGTTGGTAGCGAAAGACGCCCTCCAATGTAGGGAAAAACACCCCTGAGCTAAACGATGAGGACCGTATAAAAATTATACATAAAAAATTCCTCTTTTTGTCACTGCTTTAAAATATATCCTGGCAGACGATATTAAGGGTAGCTTTAATAGTGGCAGACGTCTTAGAAGTTAAAAAATTTAGCTATAGCAAATCCCAGCGAGTGCGAGCGTGTGAGAGATAAGCGCGCGAGAGCACAACGAACAGAGATAGCTATAGATTTACGCACCGCTTGGAGTTACCAAACGAATTAAATTAGGGAAAATAATAAATTGTTAATTTCGCGATAAGATTGTCGGTATTTCTTGAATTCTTCTCAGACTGAGAAACAGAAAACTTGAAGAGAAAAGAAGATAGATCTTCAGCTCGTTCTAAACTATCCTCTGACTCTAGTTCCGTTGTCTCTATGCAACATTGATGGATCGATGATTAAAATAAACAAGTTTGTTTTGCTGAAACTTTTTCGGAAGTATGATTTCTTCAAGTGCTCCTAGTCCATGGCCAGTTGTAGATGTTGTTTTAATCGATGGATTATTTTTTTTTGCATCTTTTAAAAGATCTCCGGTAAACCTTTGAGCGATTTTCTGAACACATCCTCGGCAAGATTTGTGCTGTGTCAGCGAGAGAAGTACATCTTACTTTTGACAGATAGTTACCCCTTCCCTGAAGGGCGCAGAACATGATCGTTGGGATCAAAATAAGGAAAGATTACAATCCTACTCAATTTCTGTTTCCACTCAGAAGCAGCCTGCAAATTTCATAAACCACTTCGCAATGATAGCTCAAAGCCTCTTTTACAGATTACTTATACCGTTCATAGGCAAAAAAGACCTGTTGTGCTTTACTTGGAAGGAAAGTTGTGTTTGCCACATATGAAGATAAGTGCTATAAATTTGTGACAAGGGAAGATGATGTGGTAAAACTGAATTGTGCTGCAGCCACTAAGAGGCAGATTCTCAAATAATTTACCATCTTGGTAAACTACCAACAAGTAGCGAAGTCATTATTAGCGCTTGCGATATGGATATTGCTGTTATTGCTTTGGGAAATGTAAAATTGACGCTACTATCAAGGTATAGATGGAAGTAGGTCTCTTTTCCAATAACACGCAGAAATTCATAAATCTTCGAGAGATGTTCGTGAATTTGGGTGTTGATGTGTGTAACGCGCAGGGTAACGCGTTACCGGGTGCCCACGCATTTACCGGATGTATGACTTGTGTATGATCCTCATGGTTTAGTTCATCGCAATTTGGGCGAATGCCACCGAAAAATGTCTGAGTTTCTACAATCCGTTTGATTAAAGTGGATGGAACTATGTGAATCAGAAGTTTAGAATCAAATGGTTTGAAAGATCTGAGTAGTCAGTATCCTATCGCTATCTCTGTTGGTTATTCTCTCGCGCGCTTATCTCTCACACGCTCGCACTCGCTGGGATTTACTATAACTACATTTTTTAACTTCTAAGACGTCTGCCACTATTAAAGCTACACTTAATATCGTCTGCCAGGAAATATTTTAAAGTAGTGACAAAAAGAGGAATTTTTTATGTATAATTTTTATACGGTCCTCATGGTTTAATTCAGGGGTGTTTTTCCCTACATTGGAGGGCGTCTTTCGCTACCAACGCTGCACTTGAAATCGTCTGCCATAGCATATTTGAAAACTATGGAAAAAATGGGATTTCTTGATACAAATCTTTTCCGTGGCCCTTATAGTTTGGTAATTTAGTTGATCACCTAAAGAAGTCACCTATTCAGCGCCGCCCCAAGTTAATGCTGCCACTTACGACTGGCAGACAAGTGATTTTATTATTAGTTTTCAACGTACTTTCAGCCTGTGTTGTCGAATTTTTTGTCGCTTATGGTTTAGTTACTATGTACGCTGCCTCCCGGTCTATAAGGTTAAAGGAGCTGTGTAAAAGCGATAGATTTTTAAACCGGAAAAGGTAACAAGTAACTTGTAGAGTTTTCCAATGCAAGCGTATATCAGGATTTTATACGACGATAATAGGGTTTTCTCACAGGCAACCTAAAACGATTGATTGCAATTTTAAATTTTAAGAAAACGTTCTAAATGAGCAAAAAAGTGGCTGCTCAAACTTTCCACAGACACAGATGCGCTCTGTAGGTACATGTCGATAAAATCTATAATAAACTCTCTGGACCAGCTCATTTTTAAATAATGGTACTACCCCACACATTGGTATCTCATACGTCTATGGTGAGTACGCCAATGAATGAAACTGGCGACTTTATATCCGTGATAGCCATACATTACATAGTTTAACCGTACGTTCCTAAACGGACGGTTTAAAATCAAGACACGACAGATTCATTTGAACGCTAGCAAAAAGGACGTGTTTTGCCCATACACTTCGGTTTTGTGACAGGTTTATACGGGCAAAACCGTGTAAAATGTTAATGGCCACCTTAACACATTTTTCCAAGCGATTCAGATTCATTGTAAACTGCTTTAAAACTTTTTGCGAAAATGCTTGTGTTAAGAATTCCACTTTCTAATGTAAATAAATGAGATGAAATTTCTTTTTAGGTGGTGTAGTCCCAGTCGAAAAATAATACTATTCCTGGAATAATTTCTTGGCTACCTTTACCTATTATATTCGTAGAACAATGTTGCTCCGCTTCATACAAATAAAGACTATTATAGTTAACAGTAATTAGAAACACTTTGTCAGGACATTCTAAAATATACAATACTACAATCACAAAAATTAGACACGGTGTAATTTTAGACATGAGGGTAAGTGGACAATTAAAACAGAACGACAAATATAAACGTATATTTCTTAAATTAATTTACACATAGGTATTGGTTTACAGAGGAGGAAGTAATACGTACGTTTAGATTTGGAAATTGACCAAATTATTTTTAGTCATCGCCGCCAGTCATGACTTCCATAAATTCTGTAACAAAAAAGTAAATCAATATTTCGTGAAATATAAAAAATATGCATTCTTTTGGAATGTCTCATTAGATGAAACGATTTTTTCAATATTAAATTTTATATTTTGAAAAATTAAGGAATATTTAACTTCAGATACTGAATAAGTAAGTTTTTCTTAAATTTGCATTGACACTATACCATTAGACCCGATAACGGCTTCCCTAATTCGATACTGGTCATCCTTATAAGTAGTAATTTAAACTGGTTGGTAGTCTACAAAAATTGGTCTTTGGGAAGCTAGGATTCCCTCTGTCTACTAGAAACATCTATTTCATCTTTATTTAAAATTTGTAAACCCTAAACCATTTTCCAACCAACACCATTATTAACAAGCTCCTAACTAGTTTATAATTTTGCGGTGTCTGTCCGACTTTCATTTTTAAATAGGCGAGCGTGCCTTTTTATTTTTGACCTCATCTATGTGAGTGTAATGACGTCATCAACTGAATTTGATTTTTTTAGTTGCAATAAATATTATTTTTGCTTCAAATTAAATTACAATTTCAATCTCAAATCTTCAAATCTCACATACACTATCAGCTGGTAACATTATGCAACATCGCGGTGCTTTCAGCACACTGAATTTACCGAATTGTAGATACCTTCTTACTTGTGTTTCAATTAATCAAAAATTATAAATAAATAAAGGCAAATTTCCCTTAACAGCGCCTTGCGTCCCCCATAGTTTAAAAAGCACCTGATTGTACCTACAGTGTGTCGGATATATAAATGACAACTTTATGGACAATTGGTTCAAATAAAGGTGATTCCTTATTACGTTTTTCACTGCCTGAGACATTTCGCGCCCAAAAAAATTTGCTTTCAGGTAATTAGCACCCAAATAGTTCCAGTGCGGATGACTCTCTTCTTCATTTTTAACGGATTCTTAAAGAATAAAAAATGTACCACTTTTTCGAGCATTTTAAACAAAATTGAAATAAAATCAATTGTTTGTATTTGCATACCGTGGCAATAGCAAAATTCTATTTAAGTTAACTGATCATAAAGACAGTGTCACCATATGGTCCCTGTTTGCCATGTTTTTTTTTCCAAATTTAGCACTGAGTTGATTGGTTTAACCGAAATGTAAGATTTTACAAGGGTTAAAGAGTATTGCCACGATTATTTCCAGGAAGGTCATCACCTTGGTTTCCTGGTTAATTTCTAGTAATCGGGTGTATTTGTTTAAGAGTGGCGGATCTCCCAGCTGCCGATAGAAAATAAGATCACAGTATGACCACACTGTATTTAAATGAACCGTGTGTCCTATTTTGGTTGAGACTGCAGTGTATGCTGTTTTTAAACCTAGAGACTTGCAGCCAGAGTTGGTATTTTTTAAATGTAACACCATGTATATAATTTTTTTGCATGCTTTTTCCTGATTACATATTGATGTATCATAACCAATATTTTTATCACATTTTCCAACTCAGAACGCACAAATTATACCTCTGGGTAGCCAAAACTACAAATTATCCACTGATATAAAGAAAACCACTCATTCCATAAGAAGATTTCAGAAAAAAGCAAGTCGAAACGCCACGTTAAAGTTACATAAAAAAATAAGTACTTTTCAAGTATACCCTCCAAATCAGCAATAAAATTTGGAGTGTTCCATTTAAAAAAATGCAAATTTGATACGCCACTGGAATACAGCACGCCCCTGGTGATAAAAAAACATTATTTATTTTAACCACAGATGCATACCGCATATTGTGAAAATCAGATGTTGCTCGCCATAAGGGAAAAACCTTTTTCATTCTCTCTAAAGACTTTACATTTTTTCTGTGATAAAGCAAAGGTTTAGAGAACCGACTATATATAAGATGCTCTACACTACTCTACACCTCAATCTCCTTTAACCATCCTCTGCTTAGTCATCCTCTTATTCTTTTCTTTGCAGGTATCCATATTCCATTATTATTCTTGTTTTTCTTCCTGATTCAGAACGTCCAAGCAAATCGATTCTCATTGTTTTGATATGCTTTACTATCTACTTCCTTTTCGATTTCAGTAGGTTTAGTTCGTTTTCTTCAACCTTTACTGGCCCCAATTATGTTCTCATAACTTTCCATTCGAAAACCTTGAGCATATAAATATTGCAGTTTGTCCGTTACTATGTGCCTTAGTGCAATGTTACATGCATCCCCTTGTCGTACACTTTTACTTGTTACTTTGTAAACGCGCTTAATTTCAATGGTATTTGCATCTATTCTAGCGTTCGTAGTAATTTTGAACTTTACTGTATCGAAAGTCTGTTTCAAACCTATAACTAATATTTCAACTTTGACATGGTATTCATGAGCCTTTTCTATTATTAGTTTTATTATGCGTTTTATATAGCGTCTACCTTTGATCCACCCTTTATAATTCCATATTGGTATCTTCATTTCTACTCTCGTTTCTACTACTAAAGTCTTAAATTTTCGTATGCTAATTATGCTAAAGTGGTCATGTCTATAGCGTTCAGGAAACGAGCTTTCTTGGTGAATTCAATAGTTTATTCGCTAAGACCAACGAGCCATTATTGACCCAACAGAATTCGCTTCATGGTTTCCCAAAACCGGGCGGATATATAAGTTTCAAACGCGGATTGAAGCAAAAGATCTGGAAATTTCGAGTTGAATAAGGGATCATAAAAACTCCATTTTCGGAGGTTTAAAACTTTCATACACTGGGGAGTTTCTGTTGGAGGAATTTTGCGGTTACCCTCCCTAAAAACTCCTTAACGTAAACGTTTTAAATCATCTAAAAACGCACTTAACCAATGAGCTTTAATCGTTTATAATGCCGTCCCAGGAAAGTCTGTACTTTATATTATTAGACCAATTTTAAAAACAATGTATTTGCAAAAGCAATAAGGAAAGGCATACGTACCATCAAAATCGACTGTTCCCGAACCGTCTGAATCAATTTCCTTAATCATTCCGTCTAATTCCTCGGGCGTGATTTTGTCATCTAGCTCTTTAATGATCTCTTTAAGCACATCAGTCGATATGTATCCGTTCCCTACAATTTTCACTTGTAATTTCAAAGCGTTAACCAAAAACGCCTCACCCTCTTTATCATATAATCGAAACGCTTCCTTAAGCTCGGCCTGTAAAGCTTCCGCGTCCTCCTCAACCATAAACCTCGCCGCCAACGTACAAAACTCCTCAAACTCCAACTCACCAGACCCTTAAATTTTGTTAGTAGCCAAACGAATAAACTGGACAAGTTTTACCGACCATCCTCGTCCACTTCCGCGATAATTTCCTCTAACATCTTATCGGTGACGTTTATTCCCAACATATTTAGGATCGTACCGATCATTACCGTTCCGATACTGCCCTTTTTCTCTACGTCGAAGGTATCGAATGCCTTTTTCAGCACTAAAATACACAATTCTGTCGGAAATTTAGAAACCGGAAGCGAAACTTACGAGCAATTTGTTCCTTTCCCAAATCTGAGGCGGCCTAAAAGTGCGAATTTAGACAATATTAGGTATAGAGGTATTAATTTACCATTGCAACAACGTCGATCACCAACCCTCACGTAAAACTGCGGAAATATTTAGGTGAGAAGTTTGGCTTATATTCTTAAAACGTGCTGCCAGCTGTTGCAGCATGTAATTTTTTAATTATTGCTCTTTCTTAGCTAATTGCGCAAATAACTTGCAAAAGCTACTTAGCAGGACTGTATCCAGTTGAATTTTTAACTTTTCCATTTTTGTATGTTTGTGGCGCGATTTTGTACACTTTTAGTAGCACTGCTGGGATAAGGGTGGTATCCACACTTGGTGGTGTCCGCATTTATCCGATGATTTATCCGTGAAAATCAACTTAAAAAAATTATGTGTTACCGCTCTGGCTCAAAAGTAAACCAATTTTCCTATCCCGGGCACATAACGCCCTTGTACCACATGCGAATTGTTCGACGTTATACTCGTTTTCTATCCCTGGCAGATGCTCAAATATCTGACAAATAAGATTAAATTGCAAACCACTATAAAATGCTTGCGGGCAAGTATAGGTCTCGTGCCAGAAATGAAAATCGATTATTGCTTTTGTTGTAACGTGAAGCGTGACGGTAATTATATTTAGGAAATCGTATGGCGACTGACACCTTAATTTTCTGCTAATTTTAACCTCTAACGGTCTGTACGTCTATAATAGCGTCAATTGGAAAATTATTGACTATTTAGACCACGTATTTTTTTTTTTTTTTTTTTTTAAGCTTTTCAAGGCTTGTAGGAGCCTTATATCAGCTATCCTTTATTAAAGATAAACTACATATACATAGAATAATATTTACATATTATTTCCTTAGAAGATATATAACTAAATTGGTCGACCGATCGCATCTAAGAATTTAACAATGTGTTCACAAGCAGTAGAGTTGGGATAAAACAATAGGTAGTCTACGTGTAGCGGTAATAACGTCTTTCCTCTGCAAATATTCTTAATTAAATTTAATCTTTGATCGTTGTACATATCACATTGCCATAAAACATGATTTAGGTCCTCATTATAATCACCGCACGCAGCACATATTGGATCATCTACGATATTGACCCTGAACAAAGAGGTAGCGAGATTGTAGTGATCCGCTCTGCATCTAATTATTGATACTGTAATATTACGATTTACTCTAGATTTGTGGAACCAAGTTTTAGGCGAGTCATTGTAAAAAAGTTTGAAATATTTGAAACCTTTATAGATGGATTGTTCTAAGCAGTAATCATTAGTATTAATATATGAAGTTTTTTTAATTTTCTGCGAAAAATCGGTGAAAGGAATTATAAAGTTAGGAGTAGGGGTTTTACTTGTGTAAGATTTTGCTAATTCATCGACAGCCTCATTTCCCAATATGCCAATATGAGATGGACACCATACGAAGACTATATTCTTGCTTGGATTTTTTGCCATAATTTTGTTATATTCGTATTTTATTTTGAGAATATAAAAATTTAAATTTATACTAACTTTGGCTGATCCTAGACATTGGAGCGCACTTAGAGAGTCAGATACTATCGCGAAATTGGCAACTTGACTATTTCTAACTGATTCTAAAGCTTTTCCAATGGCAAAACATTCTGCAGTAAAAATTGACGTATCTTTTGGTAGGGTTTGACCAGATTTCTTATTTGTATTGACATAAAAGCAAGCAGAACCTACATGACTGCTTTGGTCATTTGTTTTACTGCCATCTGTGAACACTACGTGGGAGTTGTTTTCCCTGAGAAACGCATTTAAGATTGTATTTGGATCTTTAGCTATTTTCATGTGCTTGCCTAGGTCGTAATTAACATTTAGGCTTGTTTTAAGGACATTGTAATCAAAACAATAAATGTTATAGTTCTTGTGCGCTTTTATATTAAGATCAGTAACATCCAGTATGCACTGTTTTAAGAGATTAGGTTTCTCATTTAATTTAATTGTGTTTCTATTGCCATTTTTATTGTGAATAATGGACTGGATAGTTTGAAAGGAAGGTAAGATAGAATTGGACAGAATTTTGGTGAAATAGCATTTACCCAAACTTTTTGAGCGTTCTTGAATTGACTGCAGTTTGGATTCCGCAAGTACGACAATATTTGGGGTTGTTCTCCTGAGGCCTAAGGCAGTCCTTAGGCAAGCAATTTGGACTTTTTCCAATTTTTCAACATGAATAGTGGCTGTCGGGAAATAAACAAAACTACAGTAGTCAATAATAGAACGAACAAAACTTTTATATAAGATTAATAGAGTGCTTGGATGAGAACCCCATTTGACGCCACACAGAAATTTTAGAATGTTGGATCTAGTAGCACATTTTGCTACAACTGAGTTTAGGTGTGGTATAAAACTGAGTTTATAATCAATAACAATGCCAAGAAATCTGATTGACTCACACGAGACAATGTCCTTGCCACACAGATTTAGGACTGTTTCGCCAGGTTTAATTCTTTTACTATTTATGTGAAGAAAGGCAGTTTTGTCAGGTTCAAATCCCAAACCGATTTTACCTAAATTTGCATTTGTGATATTAACTGCTTTTTGAACAAGGGATTTAGACTTTTCAACATTTCCATAACTACAGTACATTACAATGTCGTCGACGAATTGAGATATAGTTACAGTTTTAGGAACGCCCTCAGTAATATCCCTTACATAGATTAAATACAGCAATGGGCTCAAAACACCACCTTGTGGAACTCCTTTGTGACTGAGTCTAAACTCCTTTTTAAGAGAATCAGAGAAAATCATTCTATTACTGGTGATATGTTTAATAAACGTGACTAGTAGTTTAGAGCACCCTATTTCAGCTAATTTGTCCAAAAGTAAGTCACTGAGCACGTTGTATATTTGGCTTTTCAGTTTTAAATTTCTTAGACGATTTAAGATTTAATCGGCCATCGTTCCGTCTGGAACTAATTTTAAGTAGAGATTTTTATCAGTGGATATACGCCGCTGCCGTTTGCTTATAACCTACCTAATATAAGGGTTAAATCAATAGAAAAAGTGATAATATCCAATACCAATTTTCCAAGGGCGTGTGATATCGTTTAAAATTGCTTTGTCTAAGTCGTATTTCTCATATTATAATCAAAAGGTGCTCTTAGTGACTCAAAATGAGTAAAATAATGTTAAATATATATCTACTACGTCTTTTGAATTTCAAAAGGGCCTGCTATTGCCCAGTTATTTTTAAAAGTTATTTTCACAGACCTTTTAAATGAAGGCTTGTATGGAGTATTCCTGTGTTTGTGGGACAATTCAGATAGTTGGCACCGGAGAATTCGCTCCTGGGGAATTGATTCACAGATAATTTGCACCAAGATAATTCGTGCAGGAATTCCGCACCCTTTCGATTTCTGAACACTTTTGCAGTCGCACATTTATCATTATTCATTAGGGTATCAAAGGAAGCACACAAATTTCAGGGAAAACAAAATAATGCTTAAACAAAACATTGCAAAAGTTTAAGGTTTTTGAGATCTCCATTCTGTTCATTTTTTTCCGTATCTTGCATTCCTGAATTAAAACTTCCCTTAAAACATAATCATTATTGGTAAGCCTAAAAAGCGTATCCAAAAAACAGAAAACACAATATTTCTGCCAATTAAAAATAAGTTTCTGCAAGCTTCTACTAGTTTTTTTAATTTTTATTTCCTGGAAAATAAAAAATTTGTCCGATAGGTATTCACACGATTTGGGCATTGTGCGCGGGTGCACCGCCCTGTTGAAATCAATAGTTTCCAACTTTCGTTTTTCTTGTTCGCCATAGATCGTTGTGTGCTTCATAAAAAATGCTACTCAATACAGTGTGTACTGATTTCCCTGAAACGAATAAAAATCTCTCAATGCTGTCTTGTAGAGCTCAAAAAGTTTTTTTTTGTATCTGTTCAAATAACATCAGAACAAAGTAAAAACGAAATCGGCAAATTTCGGTTATTCTGGCATATCTTCGGAAGTAATCGAAATTTTCTGGTTATGTTGAAAGCATGATAATCGCATCTTTTCTCTAATTTGACCGTCGTCGTATATTTTATGGTTTCGGCGTTTATGATACATATCCTTATTTCGGACACAGTGTATACTTCCTATTAGTTAAGCATTAGCTTAGATTAACAACGGAAAGTAAATTTAGTAGTTAAATCAAGTACGTCTGCGTACTAACTTTTATTAACTTATTTTTGAGACGTGCACCAAATAAAAAAACAGAATTGTATCTTTATTTGCTAACTTTATGGGAATCAGGCATCATTTTTGTCGTAAACAAGAAAATTAATGCGTTAAAGTATATCCTAGCTTAGTTAATTAGCGATAAATGGATTAACTTGTTTCTGCACACACTTCGCTATAGCATTAATTAAGCTGGAATTAAAGTAATATTTACACCAATTTTGGATGTACAAGGTGGATCAAATTCGTGGCTCACCATTGGGATCTCTGTAACGGTGACCGATACAGTGTAGGATAAATGGGGGACCCCCTTTGTGACTAAAAAATGGATATAAGATTTTTGAAACATCTTTGAGACTAACTAAGATATCACAGATAAACTGAAAATGTTAAATTTCATTTTCGCCAAATTGGACTTTTATGGAATGAGATAGAGGGCAATAATAGAAAAATGATTGATTACCTGTACTCTATTAATACTGTATGTATTTTATTCTTCTTTTCTTGTCTCTATCTCATCCCGTAAAGATCTAATATAGCGTCCATAAGAAATATAAAACAGTAGCCTGTAGCTCCTACATACCGGGTGGTGACTTGAACAACACACCATATAGGAATTTCAGTAGTAATTTTTTCATTTCTGATTATTTGTTTCCCTGATTATTTTTTGAATCCAAGAGATTGGATAACTAACACCGGTACTAAGAAAATCGGTGGTGCCATGGCAGTTTAAGATCAAACAAAGCTAACGAATGGTAAATGCACGCGCTTTTGTTTGATTTCATAATTCCATGGCATTACCGACTCTATAAACGCGATAGCTTTTAATTGTTGTGGCTCCCAATAATCACTTTGTCTATAAGGGTGATACCAACAACGTTGCAAACTACCGGCCCATATCCATTTTGCCAACATTTTTCAAGGTCTTTGAAAAATTAATTAACAAAAGAATTTCTAAATATTTTGAGGACAACAATCTTTTTTCTAAAAATCAATTT